TGCCCCGCTCCCGGTGCCCGCACTGCCCCGCTCCCCGTGCCCAGAGTGCCCCGCTCCCGGTGTCCAGAGTTCCCCGCTCCCGGTGCCCGCCTGGCCCCGCTCCCGGTGCCTGCACTGCCCTGCTCCCCGTGCCCGCACTGCCCCGCTCCCCGTGCCCGGAGTGCCCCGCTCCCGGTGCCTGGTTCCAGGCAGCTCGGGAGGTGCCCGCCTGGCCCCGGACGGGCTCTGCGGGTGCAGAGGAGCCTGCAGTGGGTGAAGAGCAGGGATGCCCTGCGCAGGGGATGCTCCCCATGTGGCACCTCACGGCTCGTCTGACGGCGCAGCAGCAGGGACAGCAGAGTTGGGTGTCTGAACAGCACATCCCAGGGATAATCAGGGGTTGGAGCAGCTCTGTTAGGAGGAGAGACTGAGGGAACGGGGCCTCTCCTTAGGGGGATCTTGTTAATGTATATAAATATCTTATATTTTTATGCATTAATAAATGTGGGGGTCAAGAGGCAGGTACCAGACTCTTTTCAGTGGTGCCCAGTGACAGGATGAGGAACAATGGCCATAAACTAGAACACAAGAAGTTCACCTCAGCATCTGGAAGAACTTTCTCTTGAGGGTGCAGGCACTGGAAGAGCTGCCAAGGTAGAGTGTGGATTCTCCCTGTCTAGAGACATCTCACACCCACCTGTTGTTGGTTCTACGCAGTGGGTGTGGGGTTGGCTGCGTCAACTCACCGAGCCTGATATGCTGGGGAGTGAGAGGTGGTAATGGGTAAAAGACAACCAAATCAGAGCCCTGATAGGTTTGGAGAGATATGTTTTGGGTGACTGCCAAAGCAAAAAAATGCTGTTGTTGTAGGAGAGAAACACCTCATTTTGCAAAATGGTGCATGGATGATGACACATGGTGATGGAAGAGGTTGAAGTCACAGTAGTAATCATACTCGTGTGTGTGTGTAAAACAAAACTAAGTAATGATCATCTGCTGATTTTCTTCTTCATCTGGAGCTTTTACTTATTGCAGTTAATGATGGACCTCTTTAATTGGGAATAAAATTCTGGGGGAAAATGTTTATCAAGACTACAATATTGTTTCAGTGAAGATTTCACTTTGAATGTCATGGCAACTCTTTTCTGAAGTTCTTGGAACACACATTTAAGTGTATTGCAGTATGTTAATTACTGTATGTTTTTTGTACCTATATTTTCTTTTGTAATTTCTATGGGTTTTTTTGTTTAAACAACAGTGGTAAAGCTAATCCTTCAGATTAATATTAAAATAAAGAAACAACATTTTTTTCTGGTTTATCCCTTTCTTATGTAAAAATGGCCTTAAAGTTGCATTTGCATCATAATGAATGGGCTCTCAGAAGGGATGGTACACAGAAGAAAATAAAACTGACAAATACTAATATAAGTTTTATACCAGGCTTGCAACAGTTACAGTCTGGGTTACTTTGTGTGCTGACACCTGCACTGGTGTCCAAACCCACCCCAAGTCCTCTTTACTTGTCCTGCCATATTACTGCTACACTGCTTCTTATCCTTGTTAAGAGTGGTTGAGTGAACCGGTGACAAACCAGAGACTCACTTATAACTCAGGATATTAACCTGTAGACAGGTACACACGGGTTCCTGGCACTTGCATGAACCTCTGATCATGTTTGTGAAACAAAGGTGTGAGAAATTAAACCTGATGAGACTGATTTGCAAAAATGCTTTTGAAAGGGAATTTATGCAGATACATGTTCTGGCTGTTTTTCTGATCAGTCCTCCTCCTTGAACGCAGGACTA